CCAAGTTGCTAACCTCATCTCCTTTCTCCCATATATCTCCTGCCGCTGACACTTGCCCCAAACCAGATTAATCAGCTCTTTTATTCTTCCTGCGGTAGAAAGGGGGAAAGCAGCGCCAAACCTAAACATCTATCTATTAATTGCATATTCAATATTAAACAGTGAGATGATCCTGAGTCAGCACTATCACCAAGCTAGTTTTTAAAAAGAGAAAGTCAGTTTAAAATAATTTAATATCCATTAAATACTTCTTCTGAGGCGAGGGGACAGGGGAGAGGTGAACATTAAAAAAGATGAAAGAAATGGGAACAGGAGAAGGCTATGGGAGGCAAGGATGGGAGTGGGGGGAGTAGGAGCCCCAAGGAAAGCAAGAACGTAGGAAGGTGAAGACCGAAGGGCCAGAAGGAACTGAGGAGGAGAAAGTGGGCTGCGGGGAAGATGCAAGGGAGATGGGAAGGCTCGGGGTCACAACTAGGAGAAAGGAGAACCCAGGAAAAGGAAGTGGCCCCAAAGGAAGAGGGCAGGTCTGCCCCACACACACACACACCCACAGGCTCTCCTCATCCCAGCTCCCGTGTCACACTGTATCCCAAAGGCCCTGAGGACATGGGACACTTATGCCCTGAGGACGCCAGATGCTCCGGGAATGCTCCTGAGCAACCCAAAGAGATGTGTTTTCTGCTTAGAATTTGGGGTACTTGGAGGGGCTGTGGGCCCGGGGGATAGGAAGAAGGTACCTCCAGGCCTCGCCCACCGCAGAGGGAGGTCAGCGCCCACCCACTGCAGTCACATCACGATCCCAACTTCTTGTTCCAAATCTCGTGCTTCTAGAAGCATCCCGTGGTCACATCAGCCCACACTCCGAGGAGGAGGCGTCCAAGCACAGACGTGAATGGAGGAGTGTTGGCAGGAAGTTTGAGTGTGCCGGGTGGCTTTCTAACTTTCAGGGCTCCAGCGTCTGATATGAATTGCTGGCTGATGCTGACAGGCCATTGTCTTGTCAGGAATGGTCAAGGGGCTCATTGCTTTTTCTCTGGTATGGGCTTGGCTCCAACTTTACCTCCAAAGAGGTTGAAATAAAGATACAGGGACCGGAGAAGTGCTGAACATTAGGAAGAGGGGCTGGCTGGGTCCTCGGCTGGGGCTCCCAAGAAACAGGACAGGACAGCAGTTCTTGTTCTGGTCCAGGGTTCTAGTCCTGTCTTTGCCCATAATGAGCCCCTGCTGAGGCACCCCTCTGGGCCTCTACCGCCTCCACCCCCAGTCCCCACCCAATGACAGGAAGGCTCACTGTCCAGTAAACTGCTGTTTACAGAGCACCCACTGATGGCTGGGGCCTTAAACAAATATGTTTAATCCATACAACATTTTGGGAAGTGGAAGTGATTGGCCCCACTTAAAGGTACAAACCAAGGCACAAAGAGGCTCTGTAACTTGTTCCAGAAGGTGGCAGAGCCAAGATTCAAACCTCTGCCTGTCAGTCACCTGCACCCAGGTGCTCTGCACTCGTCTGACTCCCAGGATTGTCTCTCAGACTCAGGGGGCAGTGGGAAGATACCGCAGGCATTGGTCATGCCTCTAGGCCCATCCTCAAGGCAACCGAGGGGAAAGGAGCAGGGTCCCAGGGGAGGGAANAGCCAGCAGCCTGCTCAGCCTTCAGGACCCCTTTGCTCAAAAGCTGGAATGGAGGTGGTTTATGGGAGAGCCAGGGTTCCCTCAGTGAAGCCGGGAACTTGACTCTGTCTATCCTCCTCTCTGTGATCGGAGCTCCCTGTGCCATGACAGTTTCCCCTGCTGCCAGAGCTTACTCACAAAGCACCTTTCTTCCTCTCAACTCCCTGAGTCATGCCAAGTGGGGACCATGTGGCAAACAGTAGCACCCTGACCCCTTCTCAGCGGACTGGCCCCCAGTGTCCTATCTCGTGCGCCTGGCCACCTGGCCTGTTTTTCTCTGTTCCGTGCCTTGCCTCCTGCCTCTGTCCTTCCTGGCTGTGAATCTGCCCTTCCCCGTTGTCACCTTGCTGACTCATGGGCACCCGTACTCCCCCACCCAGTTGTCTTGACGCAGCCAAACCTCACTTCGAATCAGAGACCAGAAGGCCTGAGGAAGCTTGTGACTGGCTAATCCAGACATGAGGGGAATTGGCAACAAAAAGTCACCCGGTGCAGGACGGAAGCCCCGAAATAGCCCTGGCTGACCCAGCTCCCCAGGCTCCTCCTGATCCCGAGTGGCCCTGCCTCAGCTTCTCCACCTATAAAATGGGGTTGTTCGTATCTATCCTGCCTGCCTCTCAGGGTTTGTTTGAGAGAGCTATGCAAATGCGATGAGGGATAAGGGGGCGTGCATGGCAGGCAAAAACACTGGCAAAGGCATAAAGTACAATTCCATTTGTGTGATTCCTATCATTTTTATCACTTGGCATATCCTGGGACCTCTCAGGGCTGGCGAGCCCACCCTGGTGCCTCAGCATCCGGGAGGATTTAAGACAGGCTGCAGAGCGGGGATGCTTGGAGTTCAGAGACCCCTAGTGGCCTGAACGGGGCATTGAGATGGATCCGGAGAGACGCTAGCAGCCAGGAGGCTTGGGAGTCAGGCGACACCTTGTAGTCCCCCTGGCAGCCAGACGCCATGGAGAACGAGTACCTGTGCCCACTCCACACACACACCACCAAGGTGACAGCCCTTGCTGCAGCCGGGTGCCCCAGCCCTGAGCTCTGCTCTAACCAGGAGCTGGGTGGCCCAGAAGCTCAGGCACCCCAGGACCCACAGCACACATCTGCAAAATACCATGGGGTGGGGTGAAGCTCACTGTTATTTCTGCCCTGGGCAGGAAGCAGTTTGGGGCCAGAGACCAACTTCTTTTGGCAAAGCCGTCTGTGAACCAGATGTGTGCTGTGGGGACACCTCAGATTCTGATATCACAGGCTAGCAAGAGCTGCTCAAAGTTGGGACGGGGACACCACACCGACTCCAATCCAGAGAAACGCTCCTGCATAAATGGGGCTCTGGGGACTGCATAGGCGATGGGAGATGGCAGAGGCAGGGGGTGCTTTAGAGAAGACATGAAGGTTTGCAGTTGTGTGGGTGCCTGGATGTGTCAGTGGGTGTGGTCTTTGTGCCCATGTACCTGTGAACACCTGTGCACCTGTGAGTGTAGATGTATCTGTCCCCCACCCCTATGCCTGCTCTAACACTGTCCCCTGTGCTCTGTTGCAGATGAACCGGCCGATCCAGGTGAAGCCTGCGGACAGCGAGAGCCGAGGAGGTAGTAGCTGCCTGCGCCAGCCCCCTTCACGTGAGGGCCCACTTGTCTCTGCTCCTCTCCTCCCCCTCCCGCCTTCCCCTCCCCAATGCAGCAACGCAGCGACTCCCTGCTGTCTCCACCTGGCCCCCACCTGCTTGGACCTGGGGGTGGTGGTGCTGGGGTTGGAACAGGGGTTTGAACTCTGGGTGACAGATGGGGAGAGACAGTGAAGCCAAAGGGGTATGGCTGAGGTCTGCTGAATGGTGGGGTTCAGCCCTTTCTGTGAGTGAGTAAATAACTAGCGTGTCCTGGGNTGCCCCTTCCAGCCTCGGGGAGCCACACAGACAGAATGGGGGAGAAGAGACACAGATGGGGAAATGTCTCACACAGAAACAAGCCCATGAGCACAGCCCAGGTTGTACCAGGAAAATAAGGAAAGAGGTAACTGGAACCGCCAGGTTAATCAAGGCCATCTTCCCAGGTGGGGGAGGGATGTACTGGCACCCTGTCCCACAGAGGGCGGGGCAGCAGAGACCTGCAGACACCTGTGGGAGGGAGATGCAGCTGGAAACCAAGAAGGGATGGAGGGGCCATGGGACAGAGAGAAGGAGTCAAATCTAAGAGCCTGAGCTGGCCTGTCTGTCATTCTGTCTGCCCACAGGGCCACAGGCCTCTCCTTCAGAGGGGAGCCACGCTGCATGGACAGGTGAAGCCACTGGACCAGCTCAATCATCGTATTTATTCTAATTGTATCGTAATCGTCCCCAAGGAGCCTGGTTCAAATGAGCTTGACATTATTAAAATTTTAATGCCCAGTTTTCATAGCTGAATGAATATTTAAAGGGTATGTCCCAGCTTAAGTTATGATGATGAAGAAATTAATGGAATGTCTTGTTTAATGCATGGATATGTGTTGATGCAAAAAGTGGCAGAGAGATGGGAAGGGGGAGGGGAGGCGGAGCCTGAGCAGAAGGGACCTGGGAGGCAAGGAGCCACCGCCAGCCTGCCCTCTGCTGTGGTTGGGAGTAGGGAGGACCCCAAATCCTGGGCTAAGACCACTCGCTCCCCCTGAGGGGACCCCAGGCTAGAGGCAGAAACACAGTGGACAAAAGTCAGTGATGTGTTCCCGGATACCTGACCCCTGAAGCCTACAGGGTAGCTTCAGGGAGACGTTCCTGACCCAGGGAAGGTCCCCCTGAGTCACCAAACCCCGCTCATGTACCTGCAGGCCACTGGGAAACATGGGGACTCTGATGACACCTCAGAAAGAGAATCAGCAAAGAAGGCACCTGCATTCCAGCCCAGGTCCCCACCAGCCCCCAGGCCCAGGCCCTCCTGGAAGGATACTACAGTGACTGAAGGGGCCACTGGACTGAGAAGCAAGAGATGGGGGAAGGGAAAGGCACCACAAAATGGGCTCTGGCGCTCTCAAAGCACAGGGTGTAAGGGGTGCCCTGGGACCTGTGTGGCTGAGAGGTCCTGGGGCCATGACCAAGGTCCCAGAGTGCAAAGTTAAAAGAAGGACAGGAAGATAGCAGGTTCCCCTCCCACCTTCCTTCAATTATCCTCTCTCTCCTTCTTTGATGTCCCCTTACTCACTGGCCATTTCTGCAGCCACGCTTGGCCTCCTCTCCCCAGGACAGGCTTGCCGTATCCATTCACCCCTCCTTAAGGTGAAACCAGGCCTTGGCAAGGCTGGATGGGGCTGGAATCTGGAACAGGGAAGGGAACCACTGACTGAGGGAGGAAGCTCTCCCTTCAGGCCTGAGGCATCTGTACAGAGCCTGCTCCGGCTGAGAAATCTTCCCAACTGAGCCTGACACTTTATTTCTGCTGAGAATTAAGAAAGCACGGGGCCATATTTTATCTCTCCATCTCTGTGGCATCTCCCTGACAGCCTCGCAAAGGCTATCTGGATGCTGACCATCCCTAGATCATAATGAGACATGAAAAATGACCCAGGAACCACGGGCCCATAGGAACCAATTCAATTGCACTCCACCAGTCTGTTTGGAGCACCCCGTGGATGGCTGGCCCATGGCTGAGGGCAGGTGAGGAGGCTGGCGGAGACCCAGGAAGCCCATGGTCAAATTAGAGAGAAGAAGTAAGTCCTTCGTGCAAGCCCCAAGTTGTGGGGAAGGTCCGGGAGCATTGTCCAGGGCTGGCCTGGTCAGGGAGGGCTTCCAGGGGTGGGGAGCAGCGAACGCATCAGGCCTGAGTTGGGAAGCCTGGAGCAGAGTCGTCACAAGCACCCAGGTACCAAAGACAGTGGGACCGTGGCGGGCTGCCTGAGGATAGAGTGTCCCCCGGGGTGGAAGTTTCCATGCACAGGCAGATTCCACTTGCCTTGTTTAATCTACCATGGAAAATGGGCCCCATCCTACCAAAAACTGCTCTTCCCCAGCCCTTGTTGATCTTCAGGACTCACCCCAACTGCTCTCGGACCCACATAGATAAGACCGGCTGTGGGCCCCAGGCGCAAGATGCCAGGGGAGGAGTCCTGTCAGCAGTCCCCGTTCTTCCTCTTAACATCGCCCCTAAGCATTGGGGGTTGGCCTGGGCATGCTCTGGCCTCAGGGATGGAGTGTTCTCCGCAACCTTCCTTCCTCCCTCATCTCCATAGTAGCAGAGCCCAGCTGGATCTGCCACCACATCTACCTGCCCCTCCTCAGCCATACCTTCCTCTCCTTCTTTGCTGGGGAAACCTGAGTCCCCTATCTGGCCTCTGCTCTCCCCTCTTCTGCTTTGACCTTTCCTGGACCGCCCCCAAGCCGTCCAGGAACTAGATGCCTCGTTCACAGCATCATGACCAACATGTCATGGGGTCAAGAGTCCTGGTTCATCTTGATATCACCACTTGTGTGACCTCAAGCTAGTTCCTTCACCTCCCTGAAACTCCGTTTCTTGGGTTAAAGTTAAAGACAATCTATTGTAGTTGCATGCTACATAGGGGAAACTATGATAATCCAACAGTATAATCTATGTAGCAGCTATTCTTGTTCCTATAGGTATAGTGCTATTGTGTACCCTTTAGGGGACCTGAGTCCCCCTCCCCCCTTGCAATCAATTCCCAGCCTTGACT